AGAAAAAGAGAGAAGAAAAGTCTAGTTCGAATTAGGGAAAAGTTACTCTCCCATTCGGCCATACATGTTTTTATATTATTAATATAATGGAAAAGACACATGTGCCCTTATTTAAGTGAGGGAGACTAGTTCTAATATAATATTACAGATCAGCAACCTCAACATAAGTATAAAGACAGAAATACCCCTACACTAACACTCTTCTTGTAGGAAGTTAGAAAAGGTATTGCTCAAAATGGACTTCAAATCCAAAGGTGGTGTCTACATGCATCCAAAGAGAGCAAAAAACCATTATCTACTCTACTAGCCACAAAAGGATAGGAGATTAGTAGATGGTATTGGGTTTCCCCACTCACTTTACAGCAGAGCCAAACATGTGGAGACAAATACCAAAGTGGTCTGTTTTCTCGTAGTGTCACTAGTATTGATTTTGAGTGATAAACCTCCCAGAAGAAGGCCCTCACTTTAGGTGGGATTGGACCATTCCAAACTTCTTTCACTGAAAAACTAAGGGGAAGGGCCATGGAAAATAAGGGAACCGAAGAAGGAAGCACAAAAGAAGCTTCTTGAAGGACAATACGACCAAACTTTAGCATCAGAACTCAAAGGATCCACCACCACTCCCTAAATTAATTCCAGTGGCTGAATACTCAAGGTGATCTCCACCTCCCTCAAGCCTCATATAAACCCAAATTCCAACTTCCAAGATCACCCCTGAGGAATGAGAAGCAAAATGGGAGATGGTTTTATTTTTAAGACCAAGGAATTCAATCTCAAACATTCATCTCATGTAACTCAACCTAAAAGGCAAGAATGAATAACCTTAAAGATGCCACCAGACAGCTCATATCCCACTGTGAATTGACCATAATGTATGTTTAAATTGCATGATCTTGACACTTTTAAGCTAAGAAACCAAGTAGCCTATCTAGTGATCCCAAAAGTGTGTTAAGTAATCAAATTTTGACACACCAAATTCAAAATACCCTCCAGTCCTGAAGTGAGGAATGACAAAATTCAAGTTAGATTTTTGCATGGCAGTCTAGTACTATCTTCTATTTAAAGTAGGATATAATAAAGTTCAGACTATATATATATATGGGTGTGTATTAATTTTCCAATTTATATATATGTATACATATAGCTTTTTTATATTTAGTTTGTAGCTCTTCATATGTCAAGAAATTTCCATTTATATTTGTCCTTTCTTGCTTGCTTGCTTGGATTTCATAAAGCATAGAAATTGCAACAAAAAATAACTGGTAGTTTGCCTTACAAGTAGGGATGGCAATTTCATGGGAATTTCTGGGTACCCGACCCATCCTGACCCTAATAGGACCTTTTTATCAAAACCCTATTGAGTTTGGAATGGGTTTGGGTTTTGACCTTAGGGTACCCGGTACCCAAACCCAATTCTGTTTAACGCAGGTACCTGCTCCCAATATCTGATTATAAACCTGTATATATGTTTATTAAACATATCTTATATATTTTATAAGAAATAATATACATAGTAAAAAGAGTTGAGAGAGGATTCAAACCCTTGCCCTTGTATCCTATCAGAGGCATCTTTAGCACTAAACTACTGCACCATTTCTACTTAAGAGGAGCATCACATTTTACTTACGTGATGTAAAATCAAGTGCAATACTAGAAGTACTAGAAAATGCAAAGAATATTCAAGAGGCAATTTAAAGAACTGTATCTGAATTCTAGATATGCTTTCGATACAAATAGATACAGTGGAAAAATTAAGAGACGCATGGATAGTTGGATGCATCATGGAAATTCAAATATATATTAAAAATATATGAATTATATATAAAGTACAGTTCTAATAACTCTATACATAAGAAACATGTATTTTAATAGTTTATGACTTTATGTGAAGTGTAATTTCACCATAAAAATGGGAAGTGTAAACTATCAGAATATCCCAAGGAAAAGTTAGCATAACAAACTAATATTTCTACTATGATCATGTAAAAGGTTACAAAATTTAAAATAAATTATGCTTAATAAATAATGGTGATATGTCATAGTAGAAATATTAAATTCTCTTATAAAAGTAATCATCAAAAAAATCTCTTAAGTGGATAATTGAGATTATAGAGGCAAATCTAGAGCTGGTTTGGTTACAGCTAAAGACCTGGGTATTTGCAAACAGATGTAATATGGTTGTTTATCAATGCTAGTTTAGCAAGATATCTTGGAGCAGTCTAGTGGTCAAAATACTTATGTTTAAATTAAGCAACTTGGGTTCAAATCCCTTTATCAACATAATAGTTTTATATAGGACTTGTTTTAAAGACTTAAATGGAATTAATATGAGATAGAGATAATTAATGTTATAAGCGGTGCCTTATATAATGTTAGTTATGGAGTCAATTATGGAAAACAGTGTTAAATAGAGTCAATTATGGTGAGTTTAATAAGCATTAATTAAGGTAATTGAATTTGAATTTCAAATTTGAAAAATAATACTGACAACAGATATGCATAATCAGGTCAGACGGGTCATAACAGGTTTAGCGGGTTTGGGATCAAGGGTAGTAAGCGGATTCAGGAATGGGAAGGGCAATTTTCACAGGTTCCCTACCCATTGTCATTCCTACTTACAAGCAAAAGCATAAAACCAGAAACCCTAAAGACATATATCAGAAGAGTAATTAAACTTTTGAAGTAGTTGACCCAGATAGTTGCAAGAAGGCTTAGTTGAATTGAGTTGTAAATCAAAGTATTATTTGTAAGTGTAAACAAATAAAATACCAGGTACCAATTTGAGAAACAAAGCAAACCTTTTGATGATATGAAAAGTGGGCCACTCTTGAAAACCTGCATAGGAATATACGGTTCATAGTAAAAATAAGTTTCAAGTACTTCACAAATCAATAGAACAAAAAAAACATATTAACAAATTAATTTGTCACACTGAATAAAAAAGAGATGTAGTTGAAGAAAACTGAAGAAAACAGACCTTGAGAGTTCAGCAATGAGGGTTTTGAGAGTGAGAATTTCGAACATTACTCCCTCTCAGCACCCTAACACTATTTTAKTAAGATAAATTTGAATAATTACAAGGAGGCCCTTAGTTGGGCAAGAAATTACAAAGAACATAACATAGAAAGGATGGGCCCGGAATAAGGCCCATTA